GACTCAAATCTTGAGTTTGAAAGAGGGTCAGAGCATTTATTAGTGTAGTAGCAGTGAAAATAAGGAGGATGTGATACATTTAAGAGTGGCTCAGTGAGACAAACTGAATTAAAGGGCAGAATTAGTAAGAAAAATAAAATGTAATTCCAGCTTTGAATATTAGCTATCCGGAGTAATTATGACTAACAGATTGAATAATATGGGGAGGAAAATGGAAAAGGAATGCAGTATAAGATGGAAAACATTGGCCCTCCCTGGTGGCGTAGCAGGTTAAAGCACTGCACTGAGAAGCTTAAGCCACTTCCTCATGCATGAGTTCGATCCCCGCCTGCCCCTGAGGTGACCACATGGCGTGGCAGACCTCTCCTAACCCGCCCGCTGCTCCCCTCAGCAGTGTACCTCATCTATCTGCCTGTTCTGCTTCCCACTCTGTTCCTGGTAAATCCTCTCACCCTCCGTATCTCTGGCCTGTACCCCAGTTCTGTATAAATAAATAAATCTCAGGAAAAAAAAAGATGGAAAACATTAATTAGGCTTTAAATGTAAATTTTTGCCAGTTTCATTTTTTCTCTGAGAAAAATTGTGTTATGGACAGATCTGCTTTTGTTTGTCTTTCCTGCATCTTGAGCAGTTCTTTTTTCCAGGTATGGTTCTATGAGCTTGATTTAGGAAGAGAAACTAGAGACAAGTCATAAAACTAAAAGACATGGACTTTGGGGGAAACCCAAAGCAGAAAGGTGATTCTTGTATGCAAGCAGCGAAGAATATACAAACACCCTGATAAAGTGCCCAAGAGGAGATCCATGAAAGTGTTCAAGCTTCAAGAGATATAAAACAATATTTATTTTCCCTAAGTGCTAAGACATGAAATGCCATTGTGCTACTTGTTAACTTTACATGGTTTTTCTTTTGTTGTTGTTTGTTTTGTGTAAAGACTGGAAGGAAGTGTTTGTGAATATTTTGAGTTTCCCTCAATCTTGTCCCTTAAAACTCTACATTTCTCTACTGTGAATTCTTCCCAGCATTTTCAGGGGAAATCACTCTTGCAACCAGGAAGGTGATATTTTACTGAACTTAAGGCCCCATTTTGAGAACATTTGATAATCAGTAAATGTTGTATGTGTTTACCCAAATTGTTACAGATTCATGGTTCTCAGGAACGTTCTGCTTATTTGTCTTCAGATTCAACTGGTCTTGTTTCTTGGAGTAAAGGCATAGGAATTTTCAGTTACTTATCAGTTGTCGTGATCATAATCCTGAGACGTCTTCTGAGTAGGTTCCATTCTAAGAACATGGTTTCATTCTGATTGTCAGAGAATTAGTTCTAAACCCCAGAGTTTATGAAGTAGAAGCGTAGTTATCTCTGCTTGGAAGAGCAAAGCATGTTTTTTCACTGGTTTGACTTTTTATAATGACAAAACAGAAGGAAAAAATAACCCATCAAAGCTATTTCTGACAGTTTCAAAACAATTACTGCTCACCTAAGTCAAAATAAAGTAAGATGAGTGGACATCCCTCATTTGGACGAGGCTATCTGTTCAGAAATTGTATCTGATGGAAAATGCTGGGAATAATAGCCAGTGAGTCTGTAAGTTATCTTGGGTTGATATTTTGGAGTACCTTGGGGAGAGATTTTGAAGCTTTCTGGAGGGAGGGAAGGTGGGAGGAGGTGAGGGGTGGATTAAAACAGTGCCTCTTCTGGAGTGTCTGTGCCCTCAGTTGGAGCAATACCTCCCTCTGGGATGGCCTCAGCCCTGACTGATAAGGTTCCTGGTCACTTGTGGGAGTGGCAGACCCCAGCGAAAGGCCAGTTCAGTGGCTATTTTTGTCCTCTGCAGATCAGGAAATTTGAAGCTGAGAGTGAATGGTGACAGTGAGAATAAAAAGAACTTCCTGAGAAGTTGTGGAGAAGGATTGGAGGACATCGGCCAGCCTGGCACTGTGAGCAGGCAAGATGACGGCATCCAGAACCTCCATTTCAGGAGGAAGTTGGGCTTACTCTGGTGAAAATATTTGGCGGACATGTAATGGAAGAGTTAGGTGCTACTCTGAGTGTGTGTGGATTTGGGGACTATTTTTGTGCGAATGGTAGTTGAAGCCATGGGAATAAAGAGAAGAGGGCTGAGGGCACCACCCTGGGTGAGGCTGCAGGAAGGGTGAGCCCAGGCAGAGTAAACAGCAGGTGGCAAGAGGACTAGGAGGTCTTATTAAAGAAACTTCTGAAGGGGAGAATTTCAAGCTCTTAATAGAAACGCCATGGAAAATGACGACCCAGGAAAAGAGTCACTGTGCAGGCTGAGAATTGTAACTAAGAGCTGGTGGCATTGGTTTTATGGACAGAGATGTGGCAAGGGGCTTTTAAATACTGTTACGAATTCCATTTATTGCCTTCTTAATTGACAAGTTCATGTAGTAGTATGTCATTATGGTTAGAAGATTCATATACATTTATCAGCTTGTAAGTTAGGTTTTGTAAGGGGGGAAGGGAAAGAATAATATGGCTAGAGGCAATTTTGGTAGTGAGAAGGCAGCAACAACTTATTCAGAGCATGTCCACTTTCCTTTTTTCATGATTGAAAATAGTTTTTTTGTTTGTTGCTTGTTTTAATTCAAAACAGTTTGAATAAGTAACTTGAAATGTTCTCTTTCTTGAATATGAATGTGTCTCATGTTTAAAGTATTTATTAATGTTAATTGAGTTTCTGATGAATATTTCCTTAAGTGTGTCTATGTATGTGTGTGTTTAGTTTCGCATCTGAAAAATATAATGTCATTAGCCACATAACAAGTACGTACAGTAAGAGTAAAAAGGACTGGAAATTCAGAATAGAGGTAGATTAGTTTCAGCTTTTTTGTGTGTGGGAATGGGATTTAGGGGAAAATTCTAAGCAAAGATAACAGGAAGAAAGCATTTCAAGTAGAGGAAACCTGGAGCCAAATATCGGGGTCTTACAGGGACACTGGGCATTTTTGATTGCAGTGTGCGCAGGCAGTAAATGTGGCTCAGTACATGAAGAAAAGTTAGCAGAGATAATCATGGAAAGATGATTTGAATCTGAAACTTAGAAGATAGCTAGAGTTTGAACTTTATTGGAAGCAGCAGGGAGCCATTTAACATTTTTGAACAGGAATGATAACACCTAGCTGATGTCAGGAAAATGTCTCCTGTTTTTGTTACTTGAAATTCTAATGGAAGCCGTCAGCATTTCTATGATCAGCAAGAAATGATAAAGGTAAAAGATGAGACAGTAGAGATCACAAAACCAATGAGAGATTTATGTAATATTCAGAATATGACTATGAAACCTTGTGATTAGTATTTAGTGTATGAATTTATTGGTTAATTTCTTTTTGTTGTAAGCATTTGGCTTTCACAGAAAGGGGAAAATTAAGGTTGTTGAGAGGTCTTATAAAAACTCAAGACAGATCAGGTTCTGTAGCTGGATCTCAGAAAGGTGTAAAACCAAGATGCAAAAAGCTGTTAGTATGCCTCTCCTCTCTGCTCCCTCCATTTTTTTTCCACAGGACATTCACTGGATTCTTTTCATTTGTAAATTTTGTCACACTAGTCTAAGCTGAAGTTGGAAAATTACTTTCCTCAGCTCCTCTGTTATAGCTGCCAGGAGAGAGAGACGCACACATGCACAACACACATAGACACAACACCCACCACTTTTGCTCATGGTTTCAGATTTTTAGAGATGGGAATTTGATTTTATTGCTCTCAAAGAACTTATTTTTACCATTTTACAGCTAGTGCTAGTCAGCTGTGGCCAAGAGAATATAAATATACTGTGGGAATTTTACTTCTCTAGATCAGAGGATTAGTTAAGAAAGGTTATTGTAAGTTAAGAAGAAATCCCAAAGGGTGTCTCCTATAATTACATACTTTGACTTTTTACCATTGTTTAATTTATTCTTTAAAAGATAGCAATCTAGGGCCCTCCCTGGTGGCACAGGGGGTGAAAGTACAGCACTAAGAAGCTAAAGCCACTTCAGCATGAGTTCGATCCCCACCCTGGAGGTGATCCACAAAGCACGGCAGACCTCTCCTGACCCGCCCGCTGCTCCCCTCAGCAGTGTACTTGTCGATCTGCCTGTTCTGCTCCCCACTCTGTCTCTGGTGAATCCTCTTACCATCCCTGCACCTCTGGCCTGTACCCCAGTTCTGTCTGCATAAATAATCTTTAAAAAAAAAAAAAAAGGATAGCAGACTACATTTAATTTAGGAAAGTAATGTGAAAATTGAGCAGAAAATTTCCCCCAGTTTTAAGGAGTGTATTTAAGTTGACACTTAATAGGACCAGTTGTCCTTGCAGAAATGTGGAGTATAGGACTGAGAGAAGAACAGAGTACTGGGGTTCTGGAAAGGTTTTATGGCTTCATCTGGAGATTTATGCCTGTGTCAGAATTCATCAAGATGTGTACACATGATGTATGTAAGCAGTATCTCAATTAAAAAATCTAGGCAAAGTTAACTTTCTTGACTTACCTGCCTTTGCATGTCTTTTGCTTGATATAGACACCCATATGTCACTAGAAATTAATTAAGTTCCCTTTTATTTTAGGTAAATATATACATATATGTGTGTGTGTGTGTATATATAAAGATTTATTTATGCATAGAATAACTGGAGTGTATGCCAGAGGTGCTGGGGAGGGGGGGCGGTGTGTGTGAGAGAGAGGATTCACCAGAGACAGAGTGGCTAGCAGATCCTCTGAAATACGCTGCTAAGGGGAGCAGTGGGTGAGGCAAGAGAGGTCTGCTGTGTCATCTGTGGGTCAGCTCCTTGGCCTGGCTTCAAACTCAGTTTTAGTGGTGACAGCACGACAGTGCTGAGACCCAACCCTTACCCCACCAGGGAAGTTCAAGTAGATACATTTTTGATAGATGTTTATCTTTCACATAGTTTTAAGTGTTTCAGAAATGTACATATGATCATATTTTAAACATATAATAGAAAAAATGTAATGCTTGGTTTATTCTTCCCCTACTTTAGGAGCTGTGACTGATGAGAATTAAAGGCCATGGATGAAGATGGACTTGAATTACAACCACAAGAACCAAACTCATTTTTTGATACAGGTATAACTACTTGGATTGTTTTACTTCTCAACTACCAGATTTGGAGTGGGTTATCAAGTGGACAAAATGCTTAGCTTCTCATTGATAGTCACACCTAGGTATCCTGTCATTTTGTCAAATCTACAGATATTAAAGTGAGCATATTATTATTTCCCTCCTAAAATTTTGGCTTCCTCAAAACTACTCCCATATTCTTGTTCCTACAGCAACAGTATAAAAACCTTAGGGTGATCCTCCCTACTCTTCCTGCTCTGTTATATTACTGAGTCCTGTTACTCTCGCTTTGAAAATATTCTTTGCTTACATCTCTTCATTGTACTTCCTATCCTATCACATACATGGACTCTGGCCTCTCATTCTTAGTCTGCAATAACTTTAATTATTTTTCTTACCTTCAGCCTCTTTTATGTAGTCTACCAGTCAGAGTGCGCATCATAAAATAACATGCGGATAATGTCATTTCTCAGTTTTCCAATGCTCAGCAGATAAAGCACAAAACTCATGCCTTTCATATTCTGAACCCCATCCTTTTACAACCTTGTCTCTCAAAAGTTGATAGAAGGATCCTTTTATTTCAAGAAAATGGAATCTTACCTCACTCCCCAAACTCTACAAGGAAAATTAAATTGATGAAATTCTAAAAATAGAAAAAATTATTCACAATTTTGGATTATGCATGGTTCCTTTTGTGTAACATTGTAAAGTGGTTGTGCTAGGTTTTATAATGTAAAATCTTTTTATATTACACTAGCTAGCTAGCCTTGTGTTCATGAATTTTCCATTGGTTTTGAAATGATCATATTGCAGTATATTAAAGAGATAGCAATTACTTTTTATCAATATATTTAAATATTGATGATTTTTAATTTAATTTTCCCTTCACTCTATTGGAAGTATGTACATATTAACAACTCAGGATAGTCTTTTGACTGAGGTTTACATTTGATAGTACCACTTTGATAATGCAAAGTTATAGTTCTTTATTAGAATATAAGTATAATGTGCTTGAAACAATACTAAGCTCTTTGGAGAAAAATGCACAATATTTATGGCTTTATCCTGTCACTAGCAAGCCTGAGTCATGGTCTAAGTGGTAGATTGAAGGGCTGTTGCTTTTTAGCCCTGAGTATTAACACTTATGGTGTTTGTTTATCTTTGAGCAAGTCACTTAATCTGCCAGGGCCTCCGTTTTCATATGTCCTAATAATAATGAAACCTCTCATTACAGTTTTTCAGAACACTTCCCATACATTCCCATTTGATCATCACAACAGTCCTGTGAGGTATGCATGGCAGATACTACTGTCCTCATTTTACTGATGAGGAAACCGAAACTTAGAGGTTAAATGACTTGCCCAAGGTCACAAAACTAATAAGTGTCCAAACTTTATTCTCTCATTTAGATTTTGTAACCATTGTTCTCGCCACTAAATACTTTTATCTCCATATCTGCCAAATGGAGATTACAGTGATATATTACTTGATGTTGATATTGAGATTATTGAATGCAAATTAGTATAAAGCAGTTCTATAGAAATTACAGCAAATATATGTATTGTTATTTCTGGATATAATTAAGATATATATTAACTGGCTTTAAGATTTCCTACACTATTTAAGGTTCTTTGGCCCTTGTTGATCTTTTGTTTTTGCTAAGCCATGTGTATCTCTGAGGGCCTGGCCAGTGACATACAGTCATTGAGTTAGGCAGCTGATTGGACTCAGCCTGTTCTGAGTCACACCCAGAAGCACTAATCAATCGACTGGATAGTTTTTAGGTAAGACTTGTATGAAACTTCATTTGCTTTCTCTGGATCAGGAGCCAAGATACTGGATTTGTTTTGTTTTCCTTTATGTTACATTTTTGGCAAGGATGTCTTATTCCAGTTCCCAGTTGGGGCATTCATTCAGAGTAATATTTACCGAGCACCATAATCTGTGCAAACTTGTGATCTTGAGGAAGTCATTTAATCTCACTGGTCTTCAATTGATTCACCCCTCTATCATTTCTTAACTACAGAGTGGACTAGAGTAGGGTTTCTTATATGCTGAGTAGTTTTCTGGGGGTACTGGGGGGGCGATTGGAAGAGGCTATTGAAGGCGTAATGCCCTTGTAAGTTTAGGGCAGTCCCTACTCCATCTTGACCTTACCCATCACTGCTCCAGAGCAGTTATATTTTTATGCATCTTATCTAGCCACAGAGACTCCTGAATCTGTTGTCTTTCCTCCTCAATGGTGACTTTTTGGCCCTCTTTTCATTTATACCCAATCCTTTAATATCCTAGATTCAGAGGATCATTTCTAAATTTCCATAGTCATAAATGGACACTATCGCTAGGTCATTATGGCATAATAAAGGGAGAAAAGGAAAAAAATAGGAAGTTAAGTAAAAGAAATACCACAGAAAAGATGAAAAGAAGAAATAACAAATTGGGGAGAGAAATGTGGAACAAGAAGGGAAACAAATGAGAAATACATACAACGAAGGAAAATACTTTATTTGCCCTCTGACATCACATTACTCTTAATTTTTATAATCATCCCTAAGTATTTGTGTATATGGGTTTAATTTTAGTAAGCCCAGAATTTTACTACCAATAATTTTTTTCATGAATGTTTTGCTTTGTTTTTAAAATTACTTTCTTAGCTGTTAATTGATTTGGGATGAATATAAAAGTTCTTGTATTAAAAATTTTAAAAGCAGATTCCCTTTTTTATTTCTTTAATCTATATTGATGTTTAAGAAAACTGAGGTTGCTAGTCTATTTTCCTGGTAAAAATTAAATTACATTTACCTTAATTGAGATGGTCACGCATACCTATCTGAAATTTGTGATTTAATTTTTTTTAAGGCGCTGATGCTACACACATGGATGGTGATCAGATTGTTGTGGAAGTTCAAGAAACTGTTTTTGTTTCAGATGTTGTGGATTCAGATATAACTGTGCATAATTTTGTTCCTGATGACCCAGACTCAGTTGTCATCCAAGATGTTATTGAGGACGTTGTTATAGAAGATGTTCAGTGCCCAGATATCATGGAAGAAGCAGATGTGTCTGAAACAGTCATCATTCCTGAGCAAGTGCTAGATTCAGATGTAACCGAAGAAGTTTCTTTAGCACATTGCACGGTTCCAGATGATGTCTTAGCTTCCGACATTACTTCAGCCTCAATATCTATGCCAGAACACGTCTTGACAAGTGAATCTATACATGTGTCTGATGTTGGACATGTTGAACATGTGGTTCATGATAGTGTAGTAGAAGCAGAAATTGTCACTGATCCTCTAACAACCGACGTAGTTTCCGAAGAGGTACTAGTAGCAGATTGTGCCTCTGAAGCAGTCATAGATGCCAATGGGATCCCTGTGGACCAGCAAGATGACGACAAAAGCAACTGTGAGGACTACCTTATGATTTCCTGTAAGTCTTGGGGTTATAGTGCTTGTCAGAGGTTATTTCTGAAGTCTGTCTTTCCAACCGTACACCTGGGTGAAATGTTCCTGACTTGTGTAAAATTAAATTTCCTAGACCTGCCTGCATTTTAGCTTCAGTTTAGAGCATGTAAGATGGCTCAGAATTAAGAAAAGTGAAGTGGTACAGTAGAGAATAAAAACCTGTCTCTGTGTAAAGATGCAGTAGGAAGATGAGAGTTTTTCAGTCTAGAAAGACAAAGATAGAAAGGAATAGAACTGAATGTCATGAAATCATTAAGGATTAGGTTGCTACCAGCCTTCATTAGAATTAGGAACCCTCTTAAAACTTAAAAGGAGTTTGACTTGGATAAAAATATATGACAATACTACTTCTATTCTTGTATATGGAGTACAAGAAGGTATGATACTGCTTATATGATATTATGTAATATGTCTCATAGATAATAGATGATAGATAGATAGATAGATAGATAGATAGATAGATAGATAGATAGATAGATAGATAGATAGATAAGATAAGATAGATAGATGCTATTTATACAACACATACCTTGGAAAAAGGGCACAGGCAATACTGTTAAAACATAAATGATTCCAAAACCTGATTTCAGGTATGATGGACTCATTTTAGGTTATTGAAAAAAAGTAAGATGTTTTGGAATACCCTCTTAATGTTCAACTTAACATCTGGAGGGATAACTCTGTCTTCTTACAACATAAAATCCTCATTTGTATAGACCACAGGTTTGACCTAGTGGGAAATTCTTACACTTTTAGGAGCTTTACTTCAAGCATATACAGAATCACAGACTATACAGGGATTTAATTAGCATATATTGGAGCCTACCAGCATTTTAAGAAATACCTTTTAAAAGTTACTGAGATTTTGAGAGTTGGAAAATTCTTTCTGTAAAGAGTAAGAAAACACCTTCATTTAACACATGCTCATTGGGCCCCTACTGCAAATCAGACACTGTTGTAGATAGTGCAGGCACAGCTATTTGCCAAATTAAAAAAAAAGAAACCATTGTCCTTGGAGAGAAAGGTAGGTTGTCCTGTGCTGCAGAATTGTGACAGAATTGCTGTGGAGACAAGCTGGAGTAGTAGCTGACCTTTGAACTACTCAAAGATACAAGGAAAAAGATGTGGATGGGAGGGAGACATTCCTGGCAGATGGTATAGTATGTAAAAAAGGTCCTAGTCTTCGCTCAGGTTATGAATTTTAGGAAATACTTGTATATCTGTATATTCTTTAACTTTTTAGAATACATTTATAGAAATAGAATTGCTGGATCAAAGGGCATACACATTTGCGAGTCTGGTTATGTTGCCATGGTATTTTGCCTAATATAACTCCCCATCAAGTTTATGAGAAGGTACATTTTCCTGTACTCTGATCAGTACAGGGTATTTTCTTCGTTTTTAGTTGTTTTCACTGTGACAGTGAAAAATATGATACCCTGTTCAACATAGAGTTTATTTTAGGAAGATAATCCTAAAATCTGGAATAAGGATAGGGGAAGGAAGGATTACTGGCAGGGAGTGGTTGAAGGATTCATGTATGAGATAAAGCAGTTCCTAAGTACCTTCAGTAGTAATGGGGACAGAAAGGAGAAGTAATGGGGACACAGGAGTGGTCAGAAGTAAAATGTATGAGGAAGATTGGATGACTGATCATGCCATTGCCTGAGAGGAGGAATAGATTTGGTGGAAAGAATGTGATTTAGGACCTATTAAAAGTTTGAGTTGTTTGTGCTGGGTGTATTCTGGTGGGTGTTTTTCTAGGCAGCTGAAGATAAGAATTTGGTGCTTTTGAGAATGTTTGCAGCTTAAAAAAGAAGAAATTTAGGACAGAATATATATAGACTGTACTCTATATAGAAATGGATGGTGGTCCCCAGACAATGCTTGTAGAATAAGAATTTGAAGTCGGAGGCCTCTCTGGTGGCACAGGAGTTAAGTCACAGCACTATCAAGCTATCTCTAGCTACTATATCATGAGTTTGATCCCCAACCTGGGAGCTGACCCACATGGCACTACAGACCTCTCCTGTCTCGCCTACTGCTCCCCTTAGCCAGTGTATTTTAGTACATCTGCCTGCTCTGTTCCTCACTCTGTCTAGTGAATCCTTTTACCCCTACAATTCTGGCCTGTACCCCAGTTCTTGTATGCATAAATAAATCTTACCCCAAAATACTTTTAAATATATTTTTAAAGATTTTTGTTTATTTATGCATATAGAAATGGGGTACAGGCTAGAGGTGCAGGGGCGGCAAGAGGACTCACCAGAAACAAAGTGGGGAGCAGAACAGGCAGACTGACAAAGTACACTGCTGAGGGAAGCAGCGGACAAGACAGAAAAGGTTTATTATGTCATATGGATCACCCAGGGTGGGGATCAAACTTGGACTGAAGTGACCATGGCTTGGCGTGGCAGTGCAGTGCTCTAACCTGCTGTGCCACCAGGGAAGGCTCCCCAAAAAAAACTTTATTAAAAAAATTTTTTTACTATTGACTTTGGAATCAAACCAATTGAATGACTTGGAATTAGCATTTCTCATATTTCTGCACACCAGAAAAGAACTCATCTACTACATTTTAACTTAAAATCTGTATTGATTTCAGAAATTTACATTAACAAGAATTTTGTGGTAAGTGTATAGAGGAACTATGGCCGGACTTCATCTTTGATAGAGAATGCTGAGATGCCATTATTAACAGTCAGTTTCAATTCTTTATACACAATATGAGGAGAGATGGTACTATCTCTGAATTCCTGTGATACTCATTCATCACTTCATAGGTCAAAGAAGAACACGAATGAATGTCTAAATACTTCTTTAAAATGTCAGTAAACCATTGGACCTATGAACCTAATCAACTTTTATAAAGTCTTTAGTGTCTCTCTGGAGTTCAATTTAAAATGACGAAGCAGCAATCTTCATTCTTTATAGTGTCATGGTAGATCTCTCTCTCTGGTTCTCTCTCTAGCTGCCTTTGAAATCAGGATGATCTCTTTAGTCTTAGCAGTCTGTATGTTATGACTGTCAAGTTGATTGTCTATTTCTTGAAGACAGAAATTTAGTCATTTATGTATCTTCTCCATCAAACCATATATATATTTGGTGTGAAATATTTGTTGAATATATAAATGCTATAGCTGAAAGTCTGGTCATTATGCTTTATCCATGCTATTAATACTAAAATTCTTCCCTCCAAGTAGTTATTTATTGACTCTCAGCTTGGTTCTGGGCAGACTAGATAATGGGGGTACTACTTTATGGTACTTAAGCTTTTTTTTTTTT